CAGATTTTTTTTCGATTTCTCGTTTTGAACTTGATGTTTAACTTTTTCATTTGTCTTCTGCATCTAGCTTTTTTGTGCGGATATTTTGATTATTTCCCAGACGAAAGTTATACGAGCTTGCTTGTTTAGTGTAGCTTCCTGATTTTGTATTTGCTTTATATTTAATTTCATTTTGCAGTCAGCTGCAGGCTTGCAGTTGCTATTTCGAACTTGATTGATGCTGATTGATGCTCATTTGTCCCTTTGCCTCAGTTTATTTTTTTATATTATTTCCATTCTTTCCAAGCCTTAAGATTTTACATATTTGTAAATGTTGGAATTCAGTAGAGCTCCTTCATCAATTCTCCTGTTTGCTGGATGCCATGAAAAAAAGAAACTTTTCAGTGGTTCATTAAAGTGAAACTTTCACAAGTTTCCAGGATCCATTGGCTGAAGGATTGGCATGTTTATAGTTGCGTAGTGCCATTCCCTATCGCATATAAGCAGTCCATATACGGCAGGTTTTTATGGTTGGCATGCATCGTATTGGTATTGTGATGCCATAACTTTTCTTCCTGATTCATAATTCATCGAATGTGCCGATGCCATTGCCCGATTTGCTCGTTTTTTCGGATGTAACAGTTTGATGAAAATGGCGTCGTTATCGTTATGGAGGCTTTGCCATTTTTTCCTCTTCGGCCATCTGTCGCTTCAACAGATAATTATTGTGAAGATGTTCGTTGCCAGCAATCCAGAAGCGATTTAATAGCACTTGTCATTGTGATTAGAATTTATTTTCCTCGTTCTTTTATTTGAAATTCCATTTGGTTTCAGTTTCAGTAACTTTCAAGATCAATTCCCTTTATCTAAGCCATGGCATTTGCCGTAACTTTCTTTGATCGCTCGTTAAATTTGTTGAAACAAGTATTTAAAGCTAATGTTTTCGAATAAATTCTCGATTCATTTGCTTCGTTGCATATTCATAGAACCACTACATTAGTCCCACAAAGACATACTGTAATTGCCATTATCTGCATCAGTTGCTCGATTATTAATAGGGCACTACCGCCTTGACGCATTATTCTTTATTCAGCTATTACTACACCAGTTCACTTGTATAATACATGCGGTAGCTGTAGAGCAAATGTAGATTTGATCAGTTTTTTTTGCTTAAATCTATTGAGAAAAATTGCAGTTTACAACTACAATTTTTCTCAATAGATTTAAGCAAAAAAACTGGTCAAATCTACATTTGATCTACAACTACCGCAATGATAAAGAATCGTAATTCTTTCATGTTGAGAGCTCGAAACGTTTTGTTTGTGGGTTTTTGCTTAATTTTCAAAAACTTTCTCAGTTGAAAGTTTTTGTTATTATGTATTAATTGAAAACTTTTTGAACATAGACATTATAATCCATGGAAGCAAGAAGAATTCTGAGAATTTTTCATTCAGGAATAACTTCAATTGTTTAATTTTCCTAAAGACCTTCTGAAATTATTATTCATGTGAAAAGAAATTATTTTAGTAAATTGGAGGTGTTTCCTCTATACTATTTGTAGTTGGTTTTCGAATAATACATTTGCTTTATGGGCACCTATAATTAACTCATATATAAGAGTAATGGAAGCCGTAAAAAGTTTTTTGTTTTGTAAAAATTCTCCATAAAATTTGTGACAAAACGTTTCAAAAATGTGGTCGAATTTTGGAGATTTCGGTTGATCCGAATTTGAATTTCCCTCCAGGCCTTTTGGCAGCGACGCAACAATTGTTCTTTTTCTATTCATCAAATCATCACAGGGACAAATTCGTATCAACAATAGAAAAATAATGAAAATTTTTAAAACTTCTATAAAACCAATCTTTAACAATAAAATGTGGTTCAACAAAAGTGATTCTTTTCAATTCTAAATCAAAATTCATTCCTGGGTTTCAGTCATTTATTGTCTCTATTTATCAATTAAAATACGTTTCGGTGTATTTTTCCACCAAATATCCTCAGAATACAAAGAAAAATAGCTGAAAGTAAAAGAAATCAATATAAACAGTATTTTATTCGCTTTGTGTTCAAAATGGACAAAATTAATACTCCAAATGTATGCCAAGGCTTAAAGCAGCAACAACGCTACCACATGTAAGTAAAAATATTTAAGTATCTGAACGAAGAATTCTAGTCTCTTCCCAAATTTGATTGTCCTGACTAATCACCTGTTAGGCCGAATTAGTTTTGGAATGTTTTAAAGTATTGCAATTGTGATGTATTTTAATATGTGATATGATGAGGCTGTTGACGAACTGTGGTTGTCTTTTAAAT